GGACCTCTTGGTTTCGAGTCAAGCACTCTGCCGCAACAACACACGACCCCACATCATCATTATTGTGCGGCCCATCAAAAATACTAACTGTTGTTCCTGGAGAGCACTTAATGGGGCAGGCATTCAAAATGTGACTTTTTTCAATTACGTAATGAGATATGAAGGCAAGGGCGTCTTACAAGGCAAGTCCCACTTTCTGTCCGCACATCATAACCACACTCTCTCTATTTAATCCCATCCCTCCCAACGCTCTTCCCCAACTTTCCTTACCATTCGTGCTTCAGACCCCGATCCGTGAGTGTGCGCACTACCCTACTCTATAGTTGTTTTATCTGTGCATAGACAGAAAGTTGGTTCTCTTCGGAAATTGCGAAGAGAACTTATTACTATCATACACTGTATGTTATTCGTGAACTCACGTTGTATACCATTGTCTTTTCAAAGCAATCACGCTATAGTTGAGACCATGTCGAGTTCTTCATCTTACTACCCGATCCGAGGTCAGCATCAGGCCGCAACTGACGTCATTCACGTGACCTGGTCCGGGTTCTTTGACGAGTCTGGCATCCACCACTACCAGGTAAAGCTGCGGTCACATTTCCGAACTGGGGCCCGGCCGGGCAGTCTTATGGAACGAAAAGTATCATATAAAGGACAACCAAGCACAAAAAATTGAAAATATTAATTGGGAAGTATTCGCGTATATCAATGATATAAATGGTTGATTTTTCGTTAATCTTAGCAGCCCGGCCGGGCTCCAGTTTGGAAATGTGACCACAGTCTAAAGCGTTGTAGTAACATTTTGTCGCACAGTTTTTGTGCTTGTTTGTGGGGGGTGGGGGGTGTCGGTAAGAAATCTATGTTATAACGACAATGTCAAAAACAGTAGGCGACTCTTTTCATTTGATGCTTCTGATGGCAAACATTTGCGACGATTCGCATCGGCCTGCAAGTGTTCAGTCAGCTAGATACTCAGTTGTTTAATCTACTTTATAATTCTATAGGAATTCATAAGACTCGCATCTCTTTGCTTTGCTTCGCTGTACACGTCTACAGAACACACTTTCTACGAAGTCCTTCCCAAATATGACCATGATCACGCCACCACAACAAGGCTTTCTGATCACAAGCATATTTGGGAAGGCATAATTGTTTACCTGTTCTAGTGGTGACTTGTAGGATATATCGCTTTACAGGTCCGGGTGTTCAGCCAGGATGGACCTGACTTCCCATGGACAGATGTGGGTTTGTACAGGAAGAATCACGTCATCTTGTCAGGACTCCATCTCCGCTCCTACAACACGTACCAGGTCCAGGTCAGGGCTGTCAATCATGTGGGCGTGGTCAGTGACGTAGCATCCTCAGATATCGTCATCGAGACAGAGGAACCACACCTTGTTGGTAGGTAATTTTCTGTTGTAGCGCGCCAGGTTCAGACGGCGATACTATTCTTTACATAATATTGCAATGGAGGACGTCTCCATTTACTTAGTAACTGTATTATGCATACTGTATACCATATACACTGGGCTAAACGTAGGGTTTCAGGATTCGCAGATCTCACCCTCCAGAGTTGGTGGCCTCAGCCGTCGGTGCTGAAGTTGGACTGGACGGACGTTTTCGTCAGTAACTGCATTATGTATAGCTGTATCAGTTATGGTTTCATGTATAAACTGTTACAGTATTACATACACTGGGCTGAACGTAGAATTTTGGATTCACAGATCCCACCCTCCGGAGTTGGTGGTCTCAGCCGTCGATGCTAAAATTTGACTGGACGGACGTTTTCGTCAGTAACTGTATCATGTATAACTGCATGTGTCAGTAACTGTATCATGTATAACTGCATGTGTCAGTAACTGTGTCATGTATAACTGTATCACACACACTGGTCTAAACGTAGAATTCTGGATTCCGTAGATCCCACTCTCCGGAGTTGGTGGCCTCAGCCGTCGGTGCTACAGTTTGACTGGACGGACGTTTTCGTCAGTAACTCCTCCCTGGTGTACGAGGTGTCTGTTGGGACATACCCTGGCGGATGTGACGTCATGAAGTGGGTGGAAACAGAGGAGACTCAGATCAGCATGAACGACGTTGATAACAACAAGGAACACTTCGTTGTCATCACTGCCATCAACCAAGCTGGGCTGTACTTGGGCGAAACCTTTGTACTGTCATATCCAACAAACGGTTAACTAAACCAGTATTAGTCGTCATCATGCAAATGTAGGTCGCATTTAGAATTCCCGGAGTAGAATTTAATAGGTTTGTAGTTTATTGCATTGGTCATCTTATGAGTACCACAATATAGTCATAAAAATTGGCGATCAGAGTAATATCTTCTTATATTGAATTGGCTATTGTTTGATGTCTCAAAATTAGAATTTCGGGAGATCCGTGGTAAGTCTGCGGTACTGTTTTGCCAGGTCGCTTAGGTACATTACCACATGCAGGTTTTACATGGATTGATTCACTTCCAAAATATTGTAATCCAAAAGGAATACTTTCAAAAATAGAGGTCTATAACTAGAACTGGGCCGGCTTAAAAACCTCCTAAACCGGCCTGTAGAGAATGGTCGCTAGGCTATCAATAAGCAAATAAGATACCACGTTTTTCAAATGGTGTTGCATTTTTTTAAAATAAATCGATTAATTCGTTTGCAAGTGAACGATTTGCACGTGAATACATCTTTAATACAACTTTCTGGTGTATAAAGAATATTGCCTGTTCCTTAGTGTTGCCTTGTCTGTAATGAAAGATTGATAAGATTAGTAACCATATCTGCACTCAGATGAACAAAAATATTTATGTTTAGAAGAGTCCGGCAGTTTCACTTAAATTGTTTGTTTCGCATAACCGATAATCCGCCTTTCGGCGTAACACACCCATTTTGTAAATGTACGCACATGTACAAGCTGCGTAAGACGGGACTGTATGGTTTAAACCACTTACACAGGGAAGGTCCCCTTAGCTACTCTTTTCAAAATTGTGTGCGGTGGCCCGGTTCTTCAATGTGCACGGGGTGTGGCTCTCCCCAAACATGGGACCTCCATTTAACGTCCTATCCGAGGGACGTCCCTAACCGCAGCTAGGTACTTATTTCCACCTGAGTGATATGAGGAAAGTCGTGTAAAGTACCTTTACCAAGGGCACAAGATCGGTAACATGGGCAGGGTTTGAACCCGCGACCTCTTGGTTGCGAGATGAACGCGCTACCGACTGCGTAACACGATCCCACGTCAATGCCTACAATACCCGAGACGCCGTGCATTGGGCTGCTCTTACCGACGATACCATCATCATCATTCACTGTATTCTGCATCTGCAGTCGTGAGAAGAAGTCCTGCATCTGCATTAAGTCTTTCTTAATTTCTTTTCACTGATATGGTGATGGCTTAATGGTGAACCTTACTCGGGTTTCTCATAAGCTATGGCATGATGTTTGGTCAGTATGCTGTTTAGTGTCTATGTAAATGAACAACCTGAAATACGAACGTAACAGTTGCTGTGATGTAGAGATTCTTGTGAATTGTTAGAAAACATACGAGTTACAATGTGACGCTTCTTAAATTTATTCAACAAGGCACGTGTGTTTAATCCAGTACCAGCCAAAACCACATGGTGCACTCAATAACAAGGACAATTCTAATATCCTAATATCACTTAAAATAATTGCTAGCTTCTCTCTGTAGACAGATTTAATACACACCCTTTAGCATCACTAACATGTAATATGCATTTACAAAGTAAACATGTAACAATTAATAAAAAAACTTATTAAACTAAAATAATTAATACAAAGCAGCGCGCACAAAACTTACTATGTCTATTAGCCTAGTCAATAATGACACACATTGTTTAATGTTTATCCATTAGCTGGGTAACTTACTAATAAATTAATCACAATCATAAACTGACTAAACTAAAATGTCTATCAGCTTCCTTTGGCCCATCACCTTATTATGTAGTCTATTCCATTGGCAAGGAGGAGAGACAATAAGTGCAAGTTCAATTTACAGTGTACAAAGCCATTTCGATGGGAAATTCCAGCCTTTTCCACATTCAGGCATTAAAGCCAATCTTACTACAAGACCAGTAAATACACATGCTCTGATATGCACTGGTTGAATATATACAGACTTTCGAACAGAGCTTTAAAGGTGTATCTTGGTACATATACAATCATGTAGTTTCAACAAGCTGAGCTTTCGTAGTATGATGCTACATATCGGCACATGTAGAAAGTAGCAGATATTGGCTCTTGTCTGAGTCTTTTTTAAATTCCAACATTTATTACAATACAAAGTGACGGGAGACTTGGGGGGGGGGGATTCGTGTGAAGTGTATTTCCTAAGGGCACAAGATCGGTGGTATGGAAGGGTTCAAGGTCACGAGGCAGACACTCTACTGTTACGCCACACAACCCCGCAAGAGTCTAATGGACCTGCCAAGTTATCAGGCATTAGCATCGTGATGCTGCATCTGGCGATGATTATGGGCACCGGTTGTTTCAGTAGCCGTGGTGTCTGTACTGTTGTACACAGCACCAGGCGTGGTGTCTGTACTGTTGTACACAACACCAGGCGTGGTGTCTGTACTGTTGTACACAACGCCAGGCGTGGTGTCTGTACTGTTGTACACAACGCCAGGTGTGGTGTCTGTACTGTTGTACACAACACCAGGCGTGGTGTCTGTACTGTTGTACACTACACCATGTGTGGTGTCTGTACTGTTGTACACAACACCACAGTCTGGGGCAACAGTAGAGCGATTCCTGGTCCACAACTTCCAACAGAGTGTTAGAACGATGCTACATATGACAACAGTGCCGGCAGCTGCACCAGCCATGGTGGCAATCAGAACAGATAGGGACGGATTGGGATCAGATTCAGGTTCTTCTGGAGGTGACGAATGGACAAGAACAGGTACAGAGAAAGTGGGATCAGATTCAGTCTGTTCTTCAGGTGCAGTGCTGGTATTTACGGGTAGGAAGAACGTCTTAGAAGACGGAAGGTGTTCTGAAGGACCTGGTGTAGAGCCAGGTAGAGATGAACTTGGAGAAGACACAAAATGTTTTGAAGGTGTAGAGACACCAAGTACAGGTGAGGAGGAATTGGGAGAAGGCACAAGGTGTTCTGAAGGTGTAGTGCCAACAGGTACAGGTATGGAGGTGGTATAATAAGACAAAGGTTGTTCTGAAGAAGTAACGTCAACGTCAGGTACATCAGAGGAGAAAGTCTTAGACACAAGGTGTTCTGAAGGTGTAGTGCCAACAGGTACAGGTATGGAGGTAGTATAATAAGACAAAGGTTGTTCTGAAGATGTAACGTCAACGTCAGGTACAGCAGGGGAGAAAGTCTTAGACACAAGGTGTTCTGAAGGTGCAGGTGCAGGTAGGGAGAAAGCTGGAGAAGACGCAAGGTTGCTGTTGCTCGTGGGATGCGTTGAAGTAGCAGCTACGGATAGAGTTGAAGCATTAAACTTTGTAGTAGTCAGGGGAAGATCATTGTGGACATTGACAGAGAGAGTGGCAGATGCAGAGCCAGATGGATTTGTTGCTATGCAGATGTACTGACCAGCGTCTGCTGCAGTAACACCTGTTATGGTGACTGTAGCTGTGGTATTCTTCACCTCCACAGTCACCCTCCCTCCTGACATAGCATTTGTGTTTGGTCCAGATGGGAGGGTGACTGTGATGTCTGGTTTAGGCATACCTGAAACTTCACAGACCAAATGAAGAGTCTCCTCCTGCACCGATGTGTCATTGTCAACCCTGCGAAAGCTTAGAATGGTTGGCTCTAAACAGTTGTCGAAATCTTTAGGATTGATATCTTTCAGTCTTTCCCCAAAAAAATAGCTGGTTGGGAACAAATTATCTGGTCTTTAAATGAACGAAACCGACTAATTTCTAACCGAAAGGGAAGCATCCTACAGTCACACTGCCAGGGGTTGCGGTCAATTTTTACGCGACGGATTGATGACAGCATGGAATAGGTTGTTGGGGGAAGTGCCTGCATCCGGTTGTTACTTAAGTCTAACATTCGGAGCTGGCGTAGGTTTGAAAGTCCACCAGACTGAATTGTGTTTATGTTGTTGGTATTTAGGTACAACTTCTGGAGCTGTAGTAGATTGGTAAATGCACCACGCTGAATAGTAGTTATTTTGTTGGAGGACAGGTGTAACTCTTTGAGATCTGGTAAACCTGAAAATGTACCAGCAGGAACAGAAGTTATTCGGTTTTGTGACAGATTTAGTTTTATTAAACGCCTGTACCTTGAGAAAGAAGATGGATGGATGGTTGCAATATCATTGGTATTTAAGTAAAGTTCAGTAATACGTCGTGGCAGTTTCTGAGGAACAGTGGTAAGGTCTTTACTGTTGCATCTGCAGGTCGTCGACAAGAGACAGTTGAAAGTACTGCAGGGTGTGGTTGATGCTATTTCGTTGAGGATAATGACCAGGAGAAACCAAAATCTCTTCAGCTTGCCAGTCATCTTTCCTGTAAAAAAAGAAAATAAATTGAAAACAATCTTACTACAGTTTTAGCTTAATGAAAAGCTAATCTTGTACTGGTCATAACCAGTGTCATAACCTCTATGTAGTATCTGTAGATATCCCTTACTCTTTTATACATGTGCTGTGAAAAGTAGACCAAGGCCTTCAAGCGCAGTTGGCCTTTGATGAGAGCCTATATAATGTATATATATATATACATACACACACGCACTCGCACACACACACACACACACACACACACACACACACACACACATA